TGACCTCTTGTTGCTGGTGCCGTCTCCAGGTAAGCAGTTCCGCGTGCTGTTCCTGAGCACGGTGAGGACGCGCCACACCTGCAAGCACAAGCAGACGGCTATCAAGAGGAAGGAGCAGCTGGTGGAGGACTCCACGGAGGACCTGGATTACGGCTTCCTGTCCAACTACAAGCTGCTCAACACGGCCATCACCAGGGCCCAGTCTCTGGTGGCCGTAGTGGGGGACCCCATCGCCCTGTGCTCCGTGGGGAGGTGCAGGTGAGCCCCTTGATGTGCCGTTACCCGCTCCCCACCCCGGCACGCACCCTTTCATGTGCTCATGGTCCGTCGGCGTTGCTTTCGTGTGCGCAGAGGGACCGAGCTGAAACCAGCCTGTCGATCGGCGGGTCAGACGCCAGTTCTGGGCGCGGACAGTGGCGGTGATTTGTAAAGGAAGGCTGCAGGCTGGGAGGGCTGTGCCAGTTTAGAAAGCTCACGGGGGGAGATCAGATTGTCCCGTCAGCAGTGGGGATCTGTGCTCCCCTGTCCATGTGTTTTCAGGTTCTGAAGCCAGTCACTCCCTCAGCCTGTAACGATGTTGTCAGTGACATTGAAAGCACCCCCATCCCTCATTATCCCAGTGTCCTGTTGCTCATCGGCAGGCTGTGATTTTTTTTTTTTTCCCCGCACACAACACTTTGCGTCCTGTGCATCGTGTCTGTTAGGTGTTAGTCCAGATCTGGCTTAAGTTCTGTAGAATTTCTCCTGCAGAAGCTGCCATGTTTGCACTTGTTTCTTGTGACTTTGAAGGCAGCAATTGCTGGGGAAGAGCCGTCTTTAGGGAGGCCTGTTGGTGCGCTTTGTGAAACGCGGGAAGAATCAGTGCTACAGGGATGGCTGATGGCCGAGTGATTCCTGAGGTGCTTGTTGTTTCATTTCACACCAAACCTAACACCTTATTCTCCAGCCCAGCAGAAACAATGAATCATATCTGAGCTGCTGTTCACAATCCTAATTGCTTAAATGTTGTGTATGTTTTCCTTAATTCCCAGTATAGCTGTGGAAGAGCCTGGTTACATTCTTAAAGGCTTCATGGGTCCATAGGGATGTAGCTTCCCCCCCACACACACACACAAAAGATTTTGAAAAATAAGTAACTGGGAATTAATTAGAAAAAGATTTCATACATAAGGTACCTCACGCAAAGCATCCGTGCCACGATTTTTACAAAAGCGGAGAACTGCTCAAGGGTCGGGGATCGGCTCTCCCTTCTGTGAAATCCCTGCCATCCCGAAGAATTGCCCAGATTCAAGGGGCAGGCGGAGGAACTGGGGAAACAGGTGTACAGTTTAAACTGACACTATTGCTCAGTCCAGTGCAGTGGCGGGGTTGTGAGGGTGGTGGGAGGTCAGACGGCAGGAAGGGGACAGTGTGGGCTGCTGGACAGGTCAGGGCAGTGGTGGGCTTCCTGCTGGTGCCCGGAGGATCTGGACCCCATGGGCGCCATCCTGCCAGTACAAGTTCTGTGTTCTTATGTCGTCACATTTCCCAGCTTTTAGAGTTCTTCTTGAATTAATGTAAAGAGGCAAAAGGGATAACTTTGGCTGTACTATCTGAATTATTAAGAAGAAATCAGAAAAGGTTCTAATTAGAGGGGTTCGGAAGAAATCTTAGGATGCGAGCTTTATGAGCTGCGTTTTAGTCTTTTATAACCCTCTGAAGTTTTTTTTTTTTATTTGCGCCTCCTTGCAGAAAAATGAAATTAAATTTTTTTTAAAAAAAGAACAAAAGCCTATCTTGGCCTTACACAGTGGGAGTAGTGATTGTGTGCCAGTGAAGTGTCTGTGATTTTTAACCGTCTCCTTCCCGCTGGGCTGGGCGACAGCTCTTGGCCAGGATGGAGACGGGCCGGGGTGCCAGCTCTGTGCAGGAGGTTTAAGGGGCACATTCCCCTCCGGCGCACTCAGCACTAGGGCTGTGCAAGACCATGCTGCCTCTTGCCCTTCCTCCCAAGGAGATGGGGAATCAGAGGCCTGCTGTGGCCTCAGTGTGGTTAATGACCGCTTTCCCCTGGGGGGGGGAGAAAGTGTTTTTGTTAGTTAATGAAGGTGCAAGCTCTTTCCCTGCAGCTCTGTGTAAATCGTAGTTCCTGGTTGTCTTGCAGCTTCATTCATGCATAATTGACCACGGCGCAGGGCCTTGCTGGGCAGCAGCGTCGCTGGTTCGGCCCCCAGCTGTTACTCACGGTGGCTCTGTTGGTTTAGTTTCCGCCTCCCCCCTGTGACGAAGGGGAAAGGGGGGGGTTCGTCTCCCGAGGGGCAGGGCTCGCTCGAAAGAGGAGCAGGCGGTTTCAGATTAACGGGAGACGCAAGACGCTTCATGTCCTCGAAGCCGTAAAAAAAAAACAGAACAAAAAAAACCGGGTGGGAGCCTAGCTGCGTTTGCAGAGAAGAAGTGACTGCCGCACTGCGTGTGGATAAAAACACGACCTGGTTCTCCTGCCGGGCTCAAAAAAGATCCACTTGCTTAGAGAGCAGATTGAGCCCTCTAGTTCGGACATCTCGGGCTCGAGCTGTGCCAGTAGACGGTTGGGCGTGGTGTGTGGTGCCGCACAACTGAAGGATCGGCACTAATCGTACATGGGCTTGAAGTGCTGCTGTAGTCAGCCACTGTTAGATGTGCATATATTATTACAATACTGTATGAAGCAAATTTGAAGGGTTCAGTCCTAATAGGATGCAGGGTGCTTGATAAACTAGTCTACCATGTGAAAGACGGCATCCTGCCTGCACTGGCACTCTTCAAGCACCCTGCTCTTCCTCCATTAGCAGTCTTGCTGTGGGCAACATGGTCCTGGCAGCAGCACTTCCTAAGCTGCATGTTGAGCACTAAGCCATAGCCGTGCTTGCTGACCCATGCCGCAGCTCGGAAGGTTACCATAGAAACCGCAGTGCATCAGCCAATGGCGGCTGCAAGACAGTGGTAGCTGAATGTCACAAAGATTGCCAATTAAATCAATCCGTGTAATGCGGGAGGAGGGAGCGTTTGAGCCGGCCTGAGGTGCTGCCGGAAATCAAACCGCTCTTTTTTTTAGAGATAAGCATCAGAAACGGCAGCGCCCTCGTCTTGCAAACCCCATCCCTGCCTCTTTCAAAACTCGTCTCTCCCCAGCCAGCCTGTGTGATCGGCCCTTGCACGGGGTGTCACACTGCTGCAGCCTGGCAGGGCCGCCTGACCCCCGGCCGTGGGCTGATGGCATTCAGAGTCTCCCCGGGCTGTTCGGCAGTTCACGCCCCAGCTGTAAATGGAAGAGAAAAGTGGTTGTGACTGTTTGAAACCCAGAGACGTTGTGCACTGCTGTTGGCTCAGCAGAAGAGATCGGGTAGAGCCAGGAGCAGGGATGGGGGGAGGTGTTGTGAAAAGTACAGAATGACATCTCTGTGAAGGGGTGTTTACGAACGCCTGCTCCTCAGCCGGCTCCTGACAAGTGTGGCTCCTGGCTCGAGTGCCGCGCTGGGTAATCGGAAGAGGAGCTGTTTCACGTCTCCCAGTGAAATCCTGGTTTCTGCTTTTCTCTTCTCGGGGAGCTTGACGGGAGAGTCTGACTGGCACTAGGCAAGTTCGGATCTCCCCGCCGAGCACGTGCTGTTTGAAAAAAAACACATTTGTGTTTCTCCTTCCGTTAGGCTGTGTAGGTGCGTCAGCTGTTTTCTGAAATGGAAAGTCGTTCTCGGGCCGTGATCTCTAACCCTGGTCCTGGAGGTGCACTGAGTCTGCTGGTTTTTATTCCAGCTGGGCTCTGTCTCTCCAGTGCCGATTGAACTGCTTGCAACAATTTCAACATGGTATGTCTGAACAAGCTCCAGTCAGTTTAAATAAATTGAATAAACAAATAACTTACATTTAAAAGTTTTGTTTCCAACTTTATAGGGTCTCTACTCAGTTCTCCTCAACAGCAATTGCTTTGCAGGTGTTTCCAACTAAACAGCTCTTACTAGTTATGATAAAAAGGTACAGGGGGAAGTGGCCCTGTATCGGGTATAGTGGGAGTGACATTGCCATAGCTGCCCACAGTGGGGGGGTGGCTCTGTATCGGGCCCGCCCACAGTGGGGTGGTGTCTCTGTATTGGGCCCGCCCACAGTGGGGTGGTGTCTCTGTATTGGGCCCGCCCACAGTGGGGGGTGGCTCTGTATTGGGCCCGCCCACAGTGGGGGGTGGCTCTGTATTGGGCCCGCC